TCATGTCACGCTCATCACTGTGCCTGATCTACAACAGGGAACTGCTGCTTTTTCTTTCTTAATCCTTACTATTGTCATTTCCACTACTTCTTTTGTATGTTTGTCTCACTCTTGTGACCTGCTATTTCCGGGGTGCCTTGATAGTCGAAGTAGACTTTGTGCTGTGGAAGCTAGAGAGGTGAGCAGAGTAAGCCTGATTCCCTGTAAAGACTTCTCTGTTGACACCCAACCCTTGGCGCTCATATGACTTTATGCAGTTGCGAGCGCCGTAAAACCCTCTACTAAAAAAAAAAAAGAACTGCACTGTGTATATATTTATATGTATGAGAAAAAACAACAAATTAGTTCTTGAATTACTGTTGAATATTTTCTTCACCCTCATCCATCTTAACTATTTCCTTGTCAAATTGTCTCATTTTTTTTCTGCGAGCACATTCTACTCTTTTTGATGCTTATCTTTTAACTGTTCTCCCTTATTTCCCCCCCCCCCTCCTTTTCCCATGATCCGTGGCATCGTGTTTAGCCCTTTTTAACAGTCTTCTTGGACTTTTCTTAAATCATCTTGGATGTGTGCACACTGCTATTCAGGGCCCGACTTCAATAGATCGGCTATCTTTTCCGACTGTCAACTTTTGTTGTATAACAACGGTAAGCAAAATGCCGGCATCTTCTTATTCTTCAAGTGCCAGATCTGAAATATAGGCCTACATCAGCATTCGTAGTTTGTAGTTTGTCATGAACCATAATTGCTGTTTATCTTATCTGTTTCAAATTTAGCACTTAAAGAAACAGATGCTGACATTTTTCAAGGTTGTTACAGAACAGCATTGCCAGTATACAAATGCTTTCTTTGTACATCTTTATCCCCCTCCTCCTCATTAAAACCTGAGTACATGTTTGAGACATATGGTCATCATATCAGCTTATATAAAAACCTGTATATTTCTAGAATTACCATTCTTTCTTCTGCTTTGCTTTGTTTTTCACAGGCTGTTGGAACTTGTCAAAGTTGAAGAAAAACAGATTATTTATTACGTTAAAAGTAGTAAGAAGACAAGTTGCTTTTAAGCAAGATCATTTGAAGGTTGAGGATGAAATTTGTACTCATCTTGAGCTTCTATCAAATAAACATGGTCAAATAGAGGGAAGAAAGTGCTTGTTGTTGTATTGTACAGTAAATGAACACAGAAAGAATAAGAACATTTCTGCAACCTCAACTTTGTACATTAGGCTCAGAGCTGCTCTTCAAACTCAAACCTATGTAAGCCTGACTGAAGGGGATGCATTGTTTTGGACTCTGAAGTGGTACTTTAGGTCGTCTCTGTGTATTGTCTAACTGACCGGTCATTATCATCATTCTTCAAGGCATATATCCTGCCTCCTGACATTCCCAAGGTACCCGGTTATAAATTAATTTTTCGCTGACAGAGGCTTCTGGTACAACACAAGAACTATATGTAGTAGTTACTTACTGAAAGGCAGGTGTGCTTTGTCTCAGTACAGAAAGAAGAGTAGAAATAATCTACACAGTGTGTTTAGCTTGAACATACACATGATGTATTTGGAATGATCATAGTCTGTAGATTTCAGAAGCAAAAAGATGTACTAGCTGGTTTGCCTTGTTAACTGTATGTGCAAGTATTAAATGTATTTCTTGTTAGTGTTTGTACATAAACGTGCAATAAAGTATGTGAACTAAAATTTTTGCCATGCGTATTCCTTTTGTTTCAGGAGTTTGTTAGGTGATTGCTCTGTTATAGTCTGCTTCTTACACTTCTTTAACGTTTGCTTATAGTAGGCCCTGGCTATATGACAGGACTGATGTGATACCCCTGTTATTTCTGAATCCCATTATAGACCGGGATCAAGTAACAGAAACTGTTACTAATGATTAATGAATTGGGGTCATCTTTAATACAAATACAAACAGATTACTTACTACTGATTTATCTATCATTGCCCCTTTCTTTTTCAGTGATATTTTTTCCCTGTCTTTTTATCTTCCTTTTTATCTAATAGTAATAGTATCCTCTATTCTTAGTCTCGGAGGTTGACTAAATATAAATTGAAATGCGGGGGTATCATTAGTAACAATAATAATTGCATATATGTAATGCAAATCCATACTCTGCCGAGTTTACACCATATAATTTGTGCGCTTTACAACTGTTTGTTATTGAATTCGTTTAGTTACCTTGCGTAGGAAAAGGAACATACATGGGTATACAATAGATCTAGCGTCTATTGTGCTACTTTTCAATCAGTCATAATATTATTCCTGTTACAAGTCTCGCCATCCCAAGGAGAGACAATGTGACAATTGGGTGCCAAACCAAGGAAACACTTAATCTTTGACTGGATTTGTCTCAACCTCAAAGTGTATCCAGCTTTCCCCCTCCATCCCCTGCAAGTGGGGTATGAGACATCACAAAATATGCAAACAATCAACTTCTAAGACCTACTGTGGGTCAGGCAGGTGCAACAATTCGCTAAGATGCAGGTTGTTTTGCTGCGTTTGCTTTTTTCTGCTGTCCAGTCTGTCTGTGTGCAATAAGATTTACTCGATTTAGTCAATGATTGGACCACTGATAGGGCCTGGGCCGATCATGTATGTCAAAATGCCAGGTATAAAAGAACTTTTTTACTGTTATAATATAATTGGTCCCCACTGTATAGTTTCTGGTCTGCCGGCGGCTGACAAACGCCGTCTTCATTTTTTACGCCAATGTAGTTTTTTTTTCTTTCTAAATCGATAGCCTGATCAGTTACCCTACTTGTGTGAAAAAATCAAGGTGAAACTGTAACTAGTTTTTGAATAAATTAGAATTCAAATTTCGGAAGAACGCCTACTTTTTAATGGTTAGGCTGACAAAATGCCTTTTTTTTCTCGAAACTACTGTGAATTTTAAAAACAGCTGTTTTGTCAGCAGACGGCAGTAATCTATTTGACTGTTTGTGATGATCTTTTAGTTCTCATCGTGCCAAGTTGCTGAGCATAACATCATCGCTTTTGTTGCTGTTTAGTGTAACGTGGGCACACTGTTATCCCACTTGTGCTTTCGAGTGGATGGCCACGGTTCAAATCCCCATCAGAGTGTTCCAAATTTGAGTTGTTGTGAGGAGTTATTAAGGTTCCTTGCCCATTTTGGCTTGATCCTATCAGAGACTGGACCTTAAATTTGGAGGTCCCGCCTCTTAAATAACTTGACAGTTTTGAAAGAGGCATTAAACCTATATAATGACCAATATAATGTTACATCCTTCTGAACACAAAGGAAGCAATCATGAATGAGGATCCTCGCTGGGTTCCCTCCATAAACAGGGCTGAGGGAGAACGTTTTGGGAGTGACAAGAAAAATTTTGACTCTTCTCTGATGTGTACCTTAAATATCTGTGTGATGGGTAAATGTATAATGTATTTTAAGGTTTAGTAGAGGTTTTACAGCGTTCGCAACTGCATGTATAATGTAAGTCATATTGTTTTGTCAATGCACTTTTTGGTGAAGTTTATTACTTCTTAGGGAGGGAGGAAAGGGGTGGGGGGAGAGAAATGGACCAAAAAAAAGAGAGAGAGAGAGTTGAATAGGGGCTCTGTGGCCAAGAGGTTAAGGTGTTCCCCTCTCATTCAAAAGTCCCGGGTTCGAATCTGGGTAGCCACGGACGAATTTTCTTCTCTAAAATAGTCTCTTTTCACCTTCTTTCCTTCTCGTTTGCAATTTTCTGTCGTCTGCTTTTGTCTCCACTTTCTTCCCCCACCCCCTCACCCCCTTTTCCCCCTCCACTGGGCTCCCGACTCTTTCTGCTGCCTTTCTACTGCTACTCCTTGGCTCTTTCTTACTGCTGTCTTTCAGCCACACCCCTGATCTTATGGTAGGAAAGATGTACACCTAGCCTTCTGGGCCAAGGGCGAAAAATCTCGGAGGTCCCATGTGCTAGTTGCGCATGTTAAAGATCCCTTGGTGGTCCAAAATCGATAAGAGTAGGCTTTGGTCGCCACCCGGGCAAAATTCAAAATTTCCTACCAAATGAAAATGTAAGGTGTGTCCGCGCGCTCATATGACCTTATGTCGTTGCGAGCGCTGTAAAACACAAATCTAGACTTTTGAGTCTTTACGCTTTATCCTTCAATTGAATAATACTAAATACTCTAAAGTAGGTAATGTTATAAAAATTACCTTTTGGTGCTTCAATTAGTGTTCACTGCATCCACATTAATAAAAAAAGAAAATTGGCTACATCATATCCTGACCATGTAGTGGATTTTATCTATGTTTACCAAATAGATGCCACAACATCTGACCATTGTCACCCGGATGGTAGGTTTAACTTAACATCGGAGAAATTGAACCATTGGCTCACTTCATGCTGTGTTTTTGCTGTTGCTACGACATTCAACATCAGCAGAAACACTATCACTACCAGCTATTGAGACAACAGTACGTTGTCACTGGGCCTGGCCAAGACTGACACTGAACTGGTTGTTCAACGGCTACAATGTTAGTTTTAGTTTAAGTATAGGTTTTACGGCGTTCGTAACAGCATAAGGTCATATGAGCATTAGAGGTGTTACAAGAGAGTAACAAACATAAAAAAGAAGAAGGGGAGATAAGGATGATAGATGTTGGATAGGAAAGAAGAAGAAAACCACACCAGAGCACCCGTCAATCACCCATGGCTACAATGTTAGCTCAAGACTGACACAGAACTGGTTGCTCAAGGGCTACAACAATGTTAGCTCAAGACTGGTACTTCAGAACAGTAGACCGAAGAACTTGTTTTAGGACAGCTGCTCAATCCATTCGACAGTTTCCTGGATTTTATACCCAATCAAAGAGTGGCACCTCTTTTGATTTTGCCAACATATATATTTATTATCGGTAGATGCTGATGCACAGGGCTGACCAGGATGCATCTGTCCTTGAGACATTAATAAATGTTTCTCATTATCACTCCGCTACAATAGCCACTGATGCCTGCAGGAATTGGAAAAGCACTGAATACATCTTTCACAATTATATTTATTTGAATGTCAAAACAGAGCAAAGAATTCTTTAAAAAGAGTAAAGAGCCTAAAAAGAAAAATAATATCTTAAACATCATCTATAAAATCTTCGTTTCCAACATGGCTTTTGACTTGTTCACAATTAATATAAAATTGTAAACAATTACCAACTGCTTCAGAAATCCATAACAGAACGAAATGAGCATAAAAAATGGCCTTACAGATATTTACCTTTGGGGAAGAGGAGCAGTACCTCATAACATTTTTTTCTTAAATTACCACTAAATTATCAAAAAAAGCTATTTTCATTTGGCTAAAATGGTCTTCAAAATAGCAATATTCCTGAAAAAGACATCTTAAAACCGGAGAAAATTCATTAAATGAGTCCATAATCAGAGTGCCAATAGTGCATATACCTAAACCATTAGATCAACATTATACTTCAGTTAACTTAAGAGGAAGCTACTCAGAAATGGCACTACACTTTACACTTGCTTTCATGTATCGCTAAATTGGCAAGTTGTCTTTGCTTTGAGACGATTTAATGGTATGCAATTATTTGATTAAAAAATCTGTACCATTCTTAAAATGCAGCACCTGCTACTTGTAAAGCTGCAGCCGAAGAGCACAATCAGCAGTTGATAAGAAAGGAGTCAACCTATGGCATCAACAGTTGCTTTTAGAGTCTGAACAGCTTTTTGAGAAAATTCAATTCATCAAATATGCACACAGATTTTTAAGTGCCTAATTTCACTCATCAAATGAGAAAGCACATTTTTAACAGCCATGTTTCATTGGGTAGAATGCACAAAGAAAGGATTGACTCTGGTTCTAAGTGGACAGTACGTCTATTCCACTAGTCAGCTCTGGGGTTTGTGCAATTGACTAAAAACAAATAAAAAGTGGCCCATGTATGCTTACAAAACTGTATCAGAATAAATCAACTGTGACCCCTCATGGACAAAGTAATAAAAACGTACTGAAGTTTTGATTCTGATCTTCAGGCATTTGTTATTTTCTCTAGCATTATTACAGTATTGTGATACAGAATGTGATAATTGGCAAAAGGCAATAAAAGTCTATCATAAAGAGAAGAAGAAGAAGAGTCCTGAGCATGCGAGATTTAACTAAACAAATCACCTATAACTTTTTAGTGTATATGGTTTTTAGTTATCTTGAATTACTTTCCCTAGAAACACCAAAAATGCCACTTTGTGGTTATAAATAATTGCATGTGACTAAGAAAGCCAAACCCACACACTTAAAAAAATCAAGATCAACGAAGTCAAACAGGCATCATTTGGGGAAAGTCTTGCCAGAGAGGCAATAGCCACTAAAAATAATTCTGAAAAATTGGACAGGTGTACATTATTTTTCTTTCACTCTTTGACAATGCTGAAAGATTCTGTACACAGCATAAATCTTGAGAAAGACTTGGTACCCAATCAGCAGTATATCGAAAAGTAGGAGACCAAAATCTATTCTTCCTTCAGTAAGGCAACAACTAGCTCAGAATGATCAGTGGTCTGGCCCGGCAATAGCCGGCAGGACTGGCCTCAATGGCTTCCCGTGGACCCGGAGCCGATAGATGCAGGTGAAGTCTGGGTTGCCATGGTTACTGAGGACCTTGAGGGTGATGATGCGAAACACTTCTTGGTTTGGACCGCAACTACTGTAGTCCACTGTCTGACGGGTGCAGAATGGGTCCTTAAAGACAACGAACAAATAATGGGTCAAAAATTATTTTTAAAATCTCAGAGCCGTAAAGTAAGAATACTGTCAAAATTGTCAAAGATGGCCACCCCACTGTCGAGAAAAAAAGAGGCCACCTTAGATTGGTGGCCGTCTCATGCAGTGTCATTATAATGTCGAAAAAGCTCAAGGGAGATAAACGAGAAGAGGTCGTTTGTACAGGTGATTGTTTTATGCAGGTGGCCATTAGAGAAAGTTCCACTGTGTTTAAAACATCTTCCATAAATTGTTTGGTTGGAATGTGATGTTCCTTAGCATACAAAAAGTTGACAAATTTATTTTAATATAGAGAGGAGAAGAAGACACTCTATAAGTTATTGTCATATGGGAACAAAACATTATAAGGGATATGTTATTGTGAGGCAAAAAGATACAAGAGCAAAGGAGAAAAGGGAACGCTCACTGTACAGATGCGCCAACTGGCTACAGAAAAAATCTGGAACTTTTCGGACCCCAAGGAAACAGGTACACGGAGACTCAAAAATTGCGGATCATATGGTCTAGTACAAAGTTGGGCAAAAATCTGGACAATTTCAGAAATCAGGATTTTCGGATTTGTCCAGGAATTTGGAAGCTTTTACTTTAAATTCTTAAGTCGAATTGAGAATTACCTTTGTTTGAGGTATTTTATACCAACATTAATTTAATTGTAATACTTTTTGTAGGAGTCTTGTGGTCTGGCAGACTTAGTACATTGAACAATATGACTAAATCATTGCTGACCTTAATATCGTACAACTGAATAGGCTGTCCATTTCCAACTTGATAGGCAAAATGACCAAGCAAAACATCAGGAGACGTCATTTCAGACTCTTTACCCTGAAAAGGAAATGTAAAAAAAGAATTGATGCACGCTACAATTTTCTGTTAACAAAAGGAATAAATATGACGAAGTCAGAGTGACAAATGCACTGATTTTACAACAATCTTATATTTCTTATAATCCTACTTGTAGTAAGAGGAACTCTTGTATCCATACAGTTTTGTGTGCATATAGAATCTCCATGATAAAAGGGATCACAAAAATCCAAGAATCTTCTGTCGTATACATAATTATTTTTCTTTCTGTCCACATGACCCACTTTTGTATGGCTGTTAGATGTGGACAGTATACGGGAGACACATTAGGCAGCTTTAGAAGTTTCACACATGGTTTAAATTCCTGCGGTCAATCTTGTGTATTAACTGGACATAGTGACAAACCTGGAAGTGCTCGGTCGTGCGGGGAGGACCAGCATTGAAGTCATGATCATTAATGCCCAACTCAGTTGGACTGGCTATGTCATTTGTACGGACGCCGGGAAAATGTCATGCAAGGTGCAAGATCTACTATGGCATACACACCGACGATGGCCACAAAACTGTTGGTCCCCCAAAAAGACAGATAGCCATTGACAGTGTCAGAGAACACCTGAAGCTGGGTAATATTGCTCCTTAATACTTTGAGCACAGCACTAAGGATAACACTGCTTGGCATGTTCAGACCATCTTAGCACATAAAAACCTTGACACAGATAGCCGTGACCATCTCACCACTGCACGAGAGCTGCAAAAAGCCTCAATATTTACCTAAACAGTTAGCACCTTCACTTGCCCCCTCTGTTCTCGAGTTTGAGTCTTTTGCATTGGACTTGTCGGCCACATTTGAGCCCACAACTTTGATATCATCAAGTCAACAGTCCACCTAGCACGAATGACATCACTGAGTCACCAAAGTATGGTGAATAGCAACATGACTCAAATACAGGAGATAATCGCTATAAAAAAGCAGAGAACCATGCATGTTTTTGTGTAGTAGATTAAAATACTAAAGCACTGAAAAGATTATAGATGGAACAAACCACATCAGAGCACCCACCAACCATCTCCTTTATTACTGGAAACAACTAAATCACCTTCCTATTTATACAGAGTGGGTGATTGGCAGGTGCTCTGGTGTGGTTAGCTTTTTCTTTCCTATCTGACATCTATTGTTCTTATCTTTCCTCCTCTTCTTTGTATGTTACTCTCTAGTAGCACCTCCAGTCTGCCTCATTGTGTTGCAAATGCTGTAAAGCTCTTACTAAAACTGAAAAGAAGTATTTATACAGAAATGACTATCATAATCATTGTCTCATTCCTCACCACAATGACACACTTTTCGGGAGTTACTGTTAAAGACCAGGCCACCATGCTTTTCATACAGAAATATCATCAGTACTATCACTATCATTATCCTCATCGTCTCATTCCTCACCACAATGACAAACTCCTTGGGTGCCGAGTCCAGACGACCAGACGGGGCCACTTCCGTAGGGATATGCTCCAGGCTGATGGCGCTGACCACCACAGGCATGGCCAGCTGTATGGTCACGTAGCCACTCTGTCCGTGCATGGCCCAGCACTTGCCGGGTTGTACCTCTGGCTGGCAGAGAGAAGGGAAGACAGAGAGCTTGACTTCTAATGTTTGATATTTAAGTAAGAGTTTTAAGGCACTGGCAACACAATTAGGTAACTTAAGCGCCAAAGATTAAAGGTGTTACAAAAGAGTGACAAATCAAAAAAAAGAAGGAGGGATAAGGATGACATATGTTTGATAGGAAAGGAGGAGACTTCTAAGATGATTGCCCATTTATAAACTTTTTACACTATCACAAACACAATTTAGATCATTTAGTAAGGAGGGGGCCTGCTTCAACCTGGTTCATACCAACCCCGGATGGGTGGGATAAAAACATTCTCACAAGTTAATGAGATTTTCGATCTAAAAATAACTTTCCCATTGTGGAATGAAACTCCTGTCTCTTGTGTGCAACGGCAAAAGAGTCAAACCATTACACCCCAGACGCCAGTTGTCCATGATGAGCCAGTCATAATACTTGTCATATTCAGCGAGGGACAAGAAGAGATTACAGTTACATTGATCAAAAGAAGAAGCAAACCACACCAGAATACCTACAAACTGTCTTGAGAGAAAAGAAAAGGAAAAACAGCAAGTTCACATGTAAAATAGTTTTCATTTGAGTGAAATTCTCTACAGGACATGATCAATAGGATAATTCCTAAGTGTCATTTTCTATTCTACATTGCCATAGCTGCACCAAGTTGTGAGGAAATCTAACAAGGATTCTTGAGTAGTACTCATAATGAAGTAGAAAAATAACAATAACAAAGCTGAAAAAAAGCAGGAGCAACACAACAACATGCACCAACCATCTGCAATGTTTTCCTAGAAGGATGAGACACATGCAAAAGAAACACGACCTTGAGAACAGTAGTAACTACCACAAATCCTTTTCCTAGATTACACAACTTGAATTTTACCATTGTATGCTATCAGGCTGAAGCTACTTGACAACAGCCACATTGCACCAGAAAAAATAAAATCAATAGTGCACCAATTAAAACTAGAAGGATAACGCTATATAAAACTAAGCACCCACCCACTACCTGCTTTATCATGAAACATTCTGCGACATATTTTTAGCTATAGGCTTACAATTACAATACAACTGTGCATGATGGGACAATGTTCTTTGAAACTTGCAAAACAATCTAACTAGTACACATATTGACAGCTCAGGGTAAGACTCCATCAAACATTACTTTTCAAACTGGCATATGGCAGAATCTTACACAAAGTAGTTGATATGTAAATATGTAGACCTATGTGTCATGACATGGCAGAATCAGGCGCTACTCAATTTTTGGACATGTGGAGTTATTGGTATCATTTTAAAGCTTGTCCATTTGTCTTGCTTTCGGTGATGAATACTCATCTATCATGAATAGAAGTTGAGAAATTTGCGGTTGAAGGAGGTGGGGGTCGCCTGGTTTCAGAGGTAAAATTAGTGATTAAATCTAAATTTTTCAGTGAAATCCACACAGAGATATGTTTTTAAATGGACCTTAACTCTAGTCCTGCGGGGTTAACCGGAAGAGGGCTCTTATCGATCAATGACCCACTTACGTCGCCCGCGAGCTTGTGCCGCGGAGCGCCGGGGTCAGACACCGGTCACGCGAGCGTGCCGCAGCAGTTCAGGGAAACACCTCATCTTTTATAGCAAACTGAAACGATCAATGAATAAGTGTTACGATCACACGAATAATCCCATTATCTCCTCGTCGGTTGATCAGAGACGCTGAGATTGGAAGTTACACCAAATCGAATAACTTTTCCAGATTTCACACCTATTATGAATGAACTTGCGAACAGTTGCTTATCAGCTATCGTTCGAAAGAGGAAAAAAATGGGATAATTTCCTAATACTTTTTTTATTCAGTTGCTCTCAAATTTCTCCCTCTGGTAGGAAAATGGTTTTAAAACCCCCCCACCAAATATGATTATTTACATCAGGAAAAAACGTTTGGTGTAAGAATTAGATCGTTTGAAAAGTGAGGAAAGGTGTTTGCATTGAAAGATGAAAGTCCTATTTCCAGAATATCCTTTTGAGTCCCTCAAGTGTCTAACTGGGTCAAAATGCTCATATTTCATTGGATGAATGTCTCAACTGACGCTCTGTTATCTCTACCAACGCCTCGCGTTGCAAAACAATGCAGTAAGTTCCAGATGGACACACAGGCACAAGCAGACTGACGCACCCGCACTAAACGAAATGCGTTGCCCGCGTGGGACGACGACTGATCAGCGACCAGCTGTGGAGCGCCGCGCGGGATTGCGCTTATAGGGCAAACATTTATCAGGGACCAGAATCTTTAGGGTTAAATTAAACATGTTGAGTTAAAAAACAAAAATAGGATAAAAATTGCCACATGGACTCTAAAACGCCAATTTCTTCGATTTCATTATTTGACGAGCGCATGATTTCACCACGATGCTCCACATAAGCATGGGAGCCATAAGGACATGTCCTGGATTAAAATAAACCGAGCCCTCACCTGAATCACCTCCCGCGGAGAGGAAGAGTGGTACCATACCGGAATGCCAAACACACTGTAGAGGGCACCACTTTTGGAGTAGTACGTGTCACTGCTGCATAGCACAGAGCCACCTGCAAAAGTCACAGTCAAAGAGGGTTGCGAGGACAAAGTCCTTTAGACAATATCAGTTTTCTTCACACTAAAAACAATCTAAGATAAAAACCAAGACTATCTGTATTTGTTCTGTCCCAAAGACAAGACAAAAAAGGTCATAAAACAAAAACAAAACTAACTTCTGGAGAGGGTTAACTTTGAGGAGAAGCACATAGACGCTATACCCATCATTAAGTGTTGGAAAAAAACAAGATAGCCAAACAGTAGCAACAAAGGAAAAGAAAAGAAGTCGAACCTACCCTCAGTGCTCTTCAACGACGCATTTATCTTACTTCTGCAACTCTATCAAGTTGAATGGCTGAGATTTCAGAAAACTACTCTCCTCCATTCCAAGCAATATATATACAAAGACCAGCTGTAGCTCATCCGCAATACACAATTGAAAAACATAGTCATGAACTGCACCTATGCATTGATACATGTAGGCAGTAAAAAACTGCTTTTATGTGTACAGATATTCAGTGTTAAAAAAATCCATGCACGCATTGTAAAAAATGACTCGTGTTAAACTGTGGTGCGGGCCCATTTGGGTTCAAATCACCAAGTGGGGTATAATTCCACTTGATTCTTTATGGGAGTGTTCCTAGATCTTCGCCAAATTGACTCAGTCCCGTCAGTGACAACAATCCAAAGTACTAAAAACATAAACAGTCAAATTGTTTTAAAGTTGATCCTATGATATGTATAATATAGGTCTCTTTGTGACACAAAAACCATATTAAAGACAATGCAAAATCATCAAAATTATTCTCACTTCTACCCCTCCACAGAGCCATTAGCCAGAGTTATTTGAATTATTGTTTGACTTTCTAATTTAAAAAAATACAAAGTGGCATTTTGCTGCTTTTGAAAGAAAAATCCATGCTCATTTTACTTGTGACAGGGGGATATAATGAAATGATTGTGATCAAAATCTAATACCCAGTGCACACTACAAACTAGATTTAGTCGCGGCGCCAGCCTGATTTTTCCTTCATGGAGGGCGAAAGCTACTATTTCAGAAAAGTATGATGAAATTCAACAAATTTGACTTTTTGACTTTCAAAATCAAATTAGTACCTCCATGAAGGAAAATCTGGCCAGCCCCAACTGAATCAAATCGGCAGTATTGGCTGAGTTTTCGTTTAATGAATCCTTTTTTAAAATGACATATTATGTCGGACAAAACCAAGCTCTTGTGTTTGTTAGCTTGAGTAAAGAGAAGGACATTGACACAACAACAGTCATATAGACTGTTGAGAAAAATCCAACCATTCCTCACGTTCTTCTACATACCCACCTGCAGACTCCAAAGCATAGTCGGCTACACCCAAGCGGTCAGCGCTGTATTTGGCCAGAGCTTCATCCACGATGGCATTGGTTGTCTACCCCACAAACAAACAGGAACCATTCAGGTGGAATGATGCAAGATACGCATTTGTGGGGATTTTTTTTTGTAAACAGAAACACAATATCTACACAATAATGGACATTTAGCTCAGGGAAACAGCCAGAGTGAGTACAAAAACAAATAAGAGAAACAAAAAGAGTAAAACCTACATTTGGCATTCCCTCCCCTCCCCACCCAACACTCACAATACACAATTGAAAAACACAAACATAAATTGCACCAATACATTCATACACGTAGAGATTTAAAAAGTGCTTTTTTTGTGTGTAGATATTCAGTATCAATAAAGGTATATATATATATATGTACTGTAAAAGAATAACAACCAGCTTATAGAAACAATAATTATTCCTCTAAAGAGATGGATGAATTTATCTTTAGAGGAGCAAGACAAATTACTCTGTAAGTAATCTATACAAATATTACAGAACAACTGTTTTTCAATCTTCAATTTTTATTCAAAATGTCAAGTATTAGATTTTGAAACAAGCGTTTAAAAGAATGAGAATTTAACATGTAATATGGTACTTTGATAGACATTTAATAGCTGTAATTTTTAATCACCTGTTAGTTTTAGTTCAAGCAGGATTTTTATTGCACTAGTAACACAAATAGGTCATATAAGTGCTGCATATTAGAAGTGTGACTAGAGAGTAACATCCAAAGAACAAATAAGCACGATAGATGTTTGACAGGAAAGAAGGAGCAAACCACAACAGAACACCCGCCAACCATCCACTTTTAATTACCTTTAGCCAAGAAGCTGGTAAAATACCATTCAGGGCCAAAACCCCAATGTGCATCAATGATCCCCTGTACATATACAGGAATGCTGCAAGAGGCAAAAAAGAGAAATAATGCTTTGTTAACAGGAGTCGTAACTTAATACAAATACATATATATTTCATTTTGGGCAAACATGCTACTTTTTAGATCTTTACATCCAGCTACATACATAACATGATGTTTTAGTAAGAGATTTAAATTTTTATCTCCGGCAAGCCGCTCCCAGCAATTCGCAGTCCAAAACGCTGTGCCAATGAGCCGTTGATAGTGGCTCAGGCACACTCCTTTATGGCGACTTCGACATCAAATTACTTTTCAGCAATAGCAAAAAACAGGTATCTTGTATTGGGATCTCATTCATTGAATAAAAAACTATCAAAATAGGTTCACTTGTTTTGATTTAATGACCAATTTAGTGACGTTTTCATCATTTTCAGACTTAGTACCCTAAAAAGGCCCCACTATAGTGGGTTTACTCCCCTCGGAAATAAAGAGTTAAGGCACTTGCAACACAATCAGGTCATATTATAAGTGCCGAAGATTAAAGGTGTTACTTACCAACTGTCACAGCACCCAATATTACACAATCATTTACCAACTGTCACAACATAACACAATCATTTATCAATTGTAACAACATTATACAGTCATTTACCAACAGTCACAACATTACATAATCATTTACCAATTGTCACAAGATTACACAATCATTTACCAACTGTCACAACATTACACAATCATTTACCAACTGTCACAAGATTACGCATTACACAATCATTTACCAACTGTCACAAGATTACACAATCATTTACCAGCTGTCACAACATTATACAATAATTTACCAACTGTCACAAGATTACACAATCATTTACCAATTGCCACAAGATTACACAATCATTTACCAACTGTCACAAGATTACACAATCATTTACCAACTGCCACAACATTATACAATCATTTACTAACTGTCACAAGATTACACAATCATTTACCAACTGTCACAAGACTACACAATCATTTACCAACTGTCACAACATTATACAATCATTTACTAACTGTCACAACATTACACAATCATTTACCAACTGTCACAGCATAACACAACATTACACAATCATTTACCAACTGTCAAAACATTACACATTACACAATCATTTACCAATTATCACACCATTACATAATCATTTACCAACTGTCACAAGATTACGCATTACACAATCATTTACCAACTGTCACAAGATTACACAATCATTTCCAACTGTCACAACATTACGCATTTTACAATCATTTACCAACTGTCACAACATTACACAATCATCTACCAACTGTCACAAGATTACACAATCATTTACCAACTGTCACAACATTACACAATCATTTACCAACTGTCACAGCATAACACAACACTACACAATCATTTACCAACTGTCACAAGATAACACATTACACAATCATTTACCAATTGTCACAACATTACACAATAATTTACCAACTGCCACAACACCCAGAATTACACAATCACTCACCAAGTATCAAGAGCACTGATGCCAAATACAGGACCATCTGCAGCACCTGCCTCCATGTTATACATGCCAAACTATTCAAGGTCTTGCAACTCCAGGTACTGAACACAATGAAATAATAAGAATTCAGGAAGCATATAAGAACCTTCATTCTTTAAGGGCAAAGAGGACACATATATGTCTAATTAGCAGAAGACCAAACAATATGTGGCAGCATATTTTAAATCATCAAACACAAATCAAAAAGGTGGATTTGCATATTAGAGAGTTGGCATGTTGTTGCATGCCTTTCTAACATTTCAGATAAAGAATATATCATCGGCCTGGTGATAAAACCGACTAACCCACAAAATACCAAAAAACTTTTTATTGGCCCTATCGATAGTAAATTGTCCATTTCATATGCTCACTCAAAGACAGATCTAAATTTTGTCTAGAAATGCCTTTAAAACATTAGAAATTAAACTGTATAACCCGGCCCCCGTCGGATTTTAGCCCGATAATACCGACTATCCCACCTGCGAGAGAGGAAATGAGGGTTGGCTGTTTTTGTCGCGCTAACAATGAGGGGCCACGTTCTACGTTACTGACTAACCCCGGCTTCGACTCCTCTCAGGACTTTGTTTGACATCAGATTCAGACCTGTAATAGTCCTGCATTCGCTCACGTAACCGTGGGAGCTCTCCAAAAAGGAATATTGTAATATTTCTTGTTGGTTTCATTGGGGAGTTAAATAGATCTGGTTGTTTCCTCTTTTTCTTCGTTTTAATGCTGCTGATAATGTTATTAATGACTAAAATCCCAAACTGTTCCCACAGAACTGTTTATCTCGTGACAATGCTGGTATTTCAAATGCCCCTTCATGGATTTTGTTTTATATGAAACTATTTTTTCTGTCCACATGTTCTTCTTTGTCTTTGTACCGGAAAGTCACCGAATTATGAAGGCATTTTCCCTTATTCGGACTACTCTCTCTTCTCTTAATAATATTTTCCTTCGCAATTGAATGGACGAAGTCATTAGCATTTCATTCCTTACTAACTAACTCAAAAACAATGTGGGACCTGTCCAGCACACCGTTCCTTGTTTTTTTAAAGTGCTTTTTTTATATTTGCAGTGTCTATTGCAGTCATTACCTTCTGAAACATCTTTCAACTGTCTTTGAAAGTTCATTCCGTTTGTGTTTTGTATGGATTATTTTCTCAGTATCATAATATAATGCTTTTATCAAACCTTAACTTACAGAACACTATAACATCCCATAAGATGATGCCACACTTTCTGCGTCACCTCTGACCCTCAACACAATGGAAAGTGGTCAACATGACCAAGCAAATGTCACACCAGCTGATCAAACAACAGTTATGTCACCATTAATCTCTGCAAAAAGGACACGGCATGAAAACGATTGGAATGGTAACAAAAGGAAGAGGTTGAAAGAACTGGGGATGCCTCTACACCTGTCAAGGCACGAAGCGAGCGGGGTGTGAACTTAACGTCCTTTGCAGTTGTAAACTGGTTGGTGCAAAATGCAATGACATCACTGGTCACTCTCTTGGAAAGAAAATAGAGCCTACGTGTATGCCATGATAAACAAGATAGACAAAAAGAGATCTTACACAGCAAGTGTAAACCCAAGGAGAATTACACCCTTCAATGCCACTTAAAAGAGTCAACGGTCAAAGAATTCCTGTTTGTAAAACAATCTTCATGAACACTAGAGGCCTCACCCACTGGTCTATTTAAAGTAGCTTCTCCGAAAAAAACAAGAGCCCTCCAAGAACACATCATTGCCACTCACGAGAGAGCCAAGGATGACCAGTTGTTCCATAAAAAGTAATTTTTGACTAACTTTCGAAGATATCCTCCTGTCTGCAGATGACAATCCAGAAAACGTCAGATCTGCATGGAGTATACATGGAGAAATGTGCAGAGAGACAGAAAAAACATTGAGCTATCAAGTGTTCAGCCAAATGTTCAAGAAAAACAATTTGGGTTTACTTTCAACCAAGAAAGACAAGTGCGACATTTGCACCAGCTTCGAGTCTGACTGGAAAACTCACAGAAACAGAATATACAGCTCATCAATAATTTTAATTATGAATATGAGGAAACCTGCAGCTCGAGCAGAGAAGGAGAAAGACAGGGAGGCTGCATTGAACCCAAAGCAAAAAGTGTGTGTCCTTTGTATGGAGATCCACTGCGTTCTCCTGGTACCATCACTGACACCCACCTTATATTATAAAACAAAACTGGCTGTACATAATTTTACGATTTAGGATCTTGCCACCAGAGACGCCAGGTGATATGTCGGGGATGAAAGTGAAGTTGGTCTGAGCTTCAAAAGTTTTCATCATGTCTGACTCACTAACTGATATTGCAAGTGACTGACTTCAACCACTTCATCTTCTGCAGTGTTGGTGCAACTACTAAAACAAAAATGCCACCCTGGTGAGTACAATGGCCTCGCTGGTCAAAGAGCTTGACATCACAGTTGAGCAGAAATTCTCACCAAGGGCCATACCCAAATGGAGGTGGATTCAGTCCATGGCACTATTGGGCGATCGTTCCAAAACGCACTGATGTACATCCCAATGGACTACGTGAACATCATGCTCCAAGCCAGATGCATCCCCAGGTTCTATGAAGTTATGTACCTGGGCCACAGTTTTCTCAAAGATTTCGCAAAGGTCAGAGAGTACTAAACGATCCGCCCTGGGAGAAAACCTGGTGATCCTACTGTCACTGACTTGCAGGCATCAAAGTACACTCCAATCTTTAAAATTCAGTACAAGCTGAACTTTGGTGATGAATGGCGCTGCAACGACCAAGAAAGCTGAACACCCAATGTACGACAGTTACTGCTGGACCTCTCTGCAAAGACAGATTGAAGATAACTGCCAACCCGTATAAACATCTGGAGTTAAAGGCTGTCGTACCACAATGCTACCACAATTACTATGAAACTGTCTCAGTAAGAAGCTTTGAAAGTGATCAAGTCAAATTGGATTATTGTAGAGTCTTTCTAAACAATTTTACTTTTTATCGTATTGCCTTGTTATAGCCATGGGACACAGAGTGAGACAGACATGCTCTTATATTGTTGAGAAAACTCAATGAAGTAGTTTGTTGTCAAGCCACGTGCCTTGAAGAAAGTTGGTGTATTATTTGATGCTTACAAAGTCTGTTTGTATAATAATGATATATTATTATGTAACCAACGTCACTCAAACCATTGCTGAGGTAGCGGAGTTTTTGTGTGTCTTTCTGCTTTCATTTCTTTCTTAGTATTACTTTTTTCCAGGCATTTGAACGGCCATCAAGTGTCAATAGTACTGTGTCAGACACTGTCATAAATTCTAAAGGCTTGCTGCTGCTGCTACTACTGTTGTTGTTGTAGTTGTTGTTTTTGTCGTTGTTGCTGTTGCTGCTCTCCCTTACTCTTCAAGCCTCCTGTTCTTTTACTTCAAATGTAATTAATAGACTCATTGCTGTGTTCTGTTTCTTCCACTTCTAGCAAATTTTCAGCTTTGTGACTGCCGTTCTTGCCCGAATTGACTCCATAGCATTGAAATGGCAGCAGCTAATTCTAGCAACAAAATCGTCCTCCTCCTCTTCCTTCGTCTTCTTCATACTCCTCCTCCTCCTTTTCCTCCCTCCTCCTCCTCTTCCTCATCCCCCTCCCCCTCCTTCTTCTTCTTCTTCCGATAATGATGATGATGATACAATGCAACACAAAAATCACGACAATTGAAACAACAGATCAAATATGTTACCGGCAAGTGCGGCTTGGCTGCACTCAAAGCCTGCAGTGGCTTCCTGATAAAACCGGCCAAACAACAAAACTGAGGGTTGGTCGGTTTTATCCGGAAAAATTTGAGCGACATAACCGTCTAACCCACGCAGTTTCATTAAAAGCAATTTTTCAAAGGAAAAAAGGTCTACAGTGTTATGGTAAAGTGTTTTTATAGGTGTTTAAAGATTGGTTTATCGTTAGACACCTTTGTTTTGAAATATCCGGTTTTATCACAAGGTCGACCATATTCTGTACAGCTCAGGGCAGCTCTGAGAGGCAGAGTTTGATCATCCAGCTTCCTAAACAATCTAAAGTGTGTTAAGGGGAAGTAACACATTGTGTATAACATTACAATGAAACAACAGTTACATTGAGGGTCACTTCACTTTACTGTCTGAAGCTGGACTACACTCTCCTTAACAGAAAGGCTTCAGATGGTCTAGACCCTTTGTAAACAAGGACTAGTTTACAGTTTGAGAATCTGCAGCACTCTAAAAGTAACTTTTAAAAAAGTTTTGGAGCTCTACCCAGTTATTCTGATGATGTACATAATTTGTAATGTGGGGAACCACATTCGAGAAATTCTAGATTTTCAAAACCGGAAACAATATTGCTTCAACAACCATCTCCGTCAACTCCAAGCATGTGATGTGAACGAGAGAAATTCATAAATTATCTTGGAAACAGCCTACTGAGTGCTTTGATTATTTTTTCAGAGGATATAGAAGAAAAGTTACTCAGAAGACAATTGATCATCAAACATCACCAATTTTCATTCATATTCAATCATATTTCATACATTTAAAGTGCAATATTCACATAAGACATGTAAAGATCAGCTTCAGTGCTCTCTCTTATAATATTAGGGTCTCGTATCAAATCACAGTAAATCAGGAAATTTTCATAAAGTGACATTACATGTTAACCAACCTTGATTTTGCTTTAGTTTTTCCTACTTTCCAGACTGTGCTCAAGAATTTGAAAATACAGCCAAAAATATCTCCCTCAACCCCAACCAAAAGACAAAACAAAACAACCCTCTCGCAAAAAACAGCAACAACAACAAACAAACAAAAAAACAAACAAGCAAACAAACAAAACAAAAACCCAACAAAAACCAGCAATACTGCCTCAGTCGATACTCTGATTTTCTACAAAAGACAGGCTTGTAGGTCCTCTAAAAGCACACAGGCTCACATACTTACCTTGCTGCTGTAGAGCACCTTTTTTTCTTTGGCTTGCAAGCTGAGAAAAAACAATGAAAAATTCAAGAATCAATGTGGGCAAACCAGTACCTTGGAATCTCATTTTGACTTGCAGATATGAAACTGACTTTTATGCACGCTAGAAGCCAAAATAGTATCGTTAGATAAATAGTGAGTGTATTTCAGGTTCTTGGGAAGAGTGGGGTGGTGGGGGAGAATGGGAGAGTCAAAGATAGAGAGAGAATGCGAAAGAGAGAAAGAGAGAGTAGGAGGGAGGGAAGGAAGAGAGGAGAGAGAAAGTGAGCAGAGGAAAGAGAAAGAAAGGAGAGAAAGAAAGAAAAGAGAAAGAAATAAAGGAGAGAGAGAAAGAAAGGAGAGAGGGAAAAAAGGAGAGAGAGAGAGAGAGAGAGACAGAGAGAGAGAGAGAGAGAGAGAGAGAGAGAGAGAGAGAGAGAGAGAGAGAGAGAGAGACATAGAGGAAGTGTGTGGTTTTTTTTAGTTTTAGTAAGAGTGTTATGGCACTTGCAACATAATTAGTTCATATAAGTGCCGAAGATTAGAGGTGTTATAAGAGAATACCGTACACACACAAAAAAAAATGAGGAGAAAGAGGGACGATAGCTGTTCGATAGGAAAGAAAAAGCACCTGCCACCTGTGTTTAGACTTCACAAGTACTGTATTCAGACAATACCTTTTGCTTTAAGCTCTAAATACTCCTCAATAAATGTTGCCTTTTTCTGAGTACAAAAATTAAGTAAAAATTAATTTAAATACTTACTGTCATCATCTGAGCCAGAACCTGATAAATGATAAGAAAGGTACAAAATGAGGTAAGCTGAAATTACTGGTAATACTTTATATTGTTCTCATGAGAGATGCGTCCCAATGGATACACTCAACGACTTATCATTCATTCACTGTCAATTTCGTATCAACGCTATATCTAAAAAATATGTGCACTGTGGCATTAATCATAGGATAAACTTTGTCAGTCTTAGTGCATTCAAATTATTCCACGAAAAACTTCCCACATATATCTCAGGCACATTTGATATGAAACAGGAGCGACATCAATTGCTACAGTATCATAACTGGACTAGGCCAGTACATAATACAGCAAACAATGAGTAAATTGGCTGGATGGAACGTGGATCTGTAGGCCTATACAAATAACCTATCAAAGAATAGATAAAAAAGAAAAATAATACAGACACCACAGATATGGTACTCACTTAGAGTGTCTGAGTCTGAAGAGATAAAGTGAAACCAAAAAATTGATGAAAGAATTTATAATGTCAAAGGGTAATGAAAAGGGAATAGCAAATGCTAAAACTAATATGGGTTTGATTAAGATCTTGAATGCATTGCCAAACCTGGAAACAACTTTATATTGTACACCAATACACATATGTGAGGTGTGCTGACAAAATGAGTTACTTCTTGCTGACCAAGAATGGAGATATCGGCCCAAAATCGACACTGCGGTCAGATTTATAGATATCTAATTGATGCCATTTTTGTTCAAGTCTACCGTGTCTTTCATCATTCCATACTTACAAATTGTACAAACTTCACCTATAAAGTTGATGTATCAATTTCCATAAAGCTAAAATCGGAGAAGTAACTCATTTTGTCTGCACACCTCACATATGGTAATCACTGTCATCTGGAAAATGATCATTTAATATCAGTAAAATGAAACTGAACAAACACCAAAAAATTCAATTGCTATTAAAATATATTATTCAGTATGTTGCTAATTATTATGGTAAGTTTTACACTCTGTGATTATCATATGAGTAGCATGTGATAAAACATGCACCTTCTCAACTTAACATGCAGTGGTACAGGAAACTGTCTGTAAGTGCCTGGTTCGTTTTTTAACCCCAGTTCCAAGAGATACTTGATTTGTCCCAAGTGTCAATGCACTTAAAACTTGTTTTCAGTTTCTTAAAAGGGTTCCTTCAAAATATTTAATATTCAAAAGAGAAAATGAGCTTGATGTTGCTGCTACAGGTTGCATGCTGTGTACATTTTTAACCAGAAAAGGTTTAATGTTTCAAATGACATAAGGATTTACAGCAACCAAACCAAGCCCTAAAATTCCTGAAATCCTGGTGTTCAGATACTTCCCTTCTATCAGTTACTTTTACGTGATTAATTTAAGGGACTGAAATATTTCATACATTGTTGGGAATCACTTAACAGGAAATAAAAATAATTCAACCCCACTTGTAGAAATACAGGGGAGTTTTTTTAAATTAACAATAGTCATAATTGAACAGGAACAGTTTTTGAAACTAACATCTTACCAGCATAGTTCTGAACAGAAAAGAAAAGAAATAAAAAAACCAGGATCAAGAAATGAAGAAGTTATGCACGCTGCATATTCATCTAGTGAAGAAATGTGAAACTCCAAGAAAACTTGAATTATAGCCAGAAACATTAAATCAAGCTCAATGAACAGAGCTTTCAAAGACTTCATTAAACTCTCCTGGTATAGGTCTTTTACTAGTATATAATGAAGCACATCATATTATATAATGTATTACATAATTATAACCCATACCGCTGTTTCAGTATTCATCTGTTATCAAACTCCGATACATATCCATCACTCACACACTCACCAACAAGCTTCCCTACATCAAAATCATTTGACAAAAAACAACTTTTAAAATCATGCTCACAGCAAGTTACAAAAATGGTTGTGATGCATCTGCTCCGTAGATGACAGGAGTAAAAAAAAGAAATAATAATTGTACATCTCTCAAAAAATAAACAAATGCTTTGAACAAATTAATACAAAATCCATTAAGTTTTCATTTGTTGCTAATAGAATACATGATATGCATAGAAGAAGAGTATCCTGACACCCCATTGCCTTGTGGTATCTCAATATTTCTTGCTCTCTCTTTCTCTCTGTCTCTTTCTCTCTCTCTCTCTCTCTCTCTCTCACACACACACACACACACACACACACACACACACACACACACACAAACATGAACCCACACACACAGATAGATTAAGATACAAAAACTCACATGCACACAACACACATGGGTACCAAAAAAAATAAAATGTTGTGTACCTTTCTTCCTGGACAGCCGCGCCGCATTGTCTGACAGATTTGTTGGCCTTTAACCCCAAAAAGCTGGGTAAAAATGAAAAAAGAAAATAGAAAACTAAATTCATTTCACATAAAATAGAAGTTCAAATATATATACAATGTATAAGCACTGGAAATAGATGTTTAACATTTGTGCCCAGCTCCGCATCAGTAGCTTTTATCATCATTGTCATAGAAGGCCCTGCAAGAGGATATATTCTCTTTGCCACTTAGTTGCTGACAAACTTTGTGGTAATGTGAGAACATTCTAAGGAACTTGACAAGTGTGGCTTGACATGTGAGGGACTCCTAAGAGAGAAAAGCATATCGTCAACGGAAGGAAAAGATTGGGGAACTTTGGGTACTTGGACTTGGATACAATATTGTCAATCTAATCTTCAGTCAATATTAAACATTTTCTGCCCATATATATATTAGAACTGGTCGTTCTTTGTAGAGACCATATCCAGCATATTTGTTTTTAAAATAGAAGTTTTCATTTTACATATGTTTTTTTTTCCTTGTATAAAAATGTCACTTTCCTGCACAATTTTGGACATGTTTTCCTTAAGAAATTAGAAACTAAATTCACCAAAACACTCAAAACATTTCATTTTAACTCTCTTGCATGCACTGGAGTCTTATAGCTATTGGTTTGACATGGTCCAGCTATTGGCAAATGTATCATTAAGAGAAAACAAGCCAAATATGCATAGATCTATATCAACCTGCCTCCTGACCTTCAGGTTTGAGAATTACTAAAATTTTGCTGATATGGAAATCTAGATCTAGAATCTAGAATCTAGATCTAGAATCTAGAATCTAGATCTAGATCTAGAATCTAGATCTAGATCTAGTAGGAGACAGAGCAATAATTTTAAAGGGAAAGTGTAGCCTTTTTGCTGGCATTCCACATAGGAAGTGGTTATTCGATCTCATCCCGGGTGAGAATAACCCATGTCTTGCTATTCTCACCCCCTCGTTTCACTGGAAATGACCCTAGAGGGATCAGGGCTGAGGTTAGAAGCATGACCCTGGGAGAGGGGTCAGGGCTGATGCTCCACAGCATCATGTTCGTCACTGTTCGTGTCTGAATAGTCACAGTCAGGGTTGTCAGTTTGGACCCAAATCCCAGAAATTTGGCTCTTTTGGATCGTGTCTGGCCCGCAGAATTTCATTTGGCTCTCTGGCTCTTTTTTGGCTCCAAACTCCAAATGTTCAAGAAGAAAGGGAAAGAAGAGAAAAAAAAAACAAAGAAAAAAACAAAAAGAAAGAATAAAAGAAAAAAAAGAAAGTGAAGAAAAGAGCTTGGATTGTCTAGAGTAGAGGAAGTGGTGTCTGTGCTACCCTAAGCATAAAAAGTGACCTTGCCAGTTCCCAGTGAGAGAGGAGGTAACCACACAATAACTGATGAGAAGCAAATTTCGTCTGCTATCGTCGGCCCAGGGCGCTATGCCTGCTTCGTTTGCCTGTCTCCCTCAGTAGTGGTATTTGTGAGGCAAAGTGAGGGCGGGTGTGTGCGACAATGAGCGGGGGGCGCGTTCCTGCTTGAGGGTGGCGCATTTTAAGGAGAGGCTGCGCGATAGGATAGGGCGGGTCTTGCAACATACCCTAATAACTTCTTATTATGAATCTTATAGGCTAACGTATGATTTTATAACCACAAAGGAGGAAATATTCTTACAAATTACACAAGAGCTAGTTCCAAGTGGCACTCAATTTTTATGTATAGCAAAAGAGAAAGAAAACAAAAAATAACAGAAGCCAACACTTACAATGGAAACAGTAATCTATTAGTTAATCTCGATAACTAGGAAAATCATTAATTAAATTATATAAGAACTGCAAAGTAGATACAAGTGGATCTAATTGCACATTGATAAACAAAGATATTGTTCACACTAATTGTATGAAACAAATTGGTATGGGGAGATTAGTCAACACAGCAAAAGAGCTCGATGTCCATGGCATCCAGGTCTTCCTGAGTCTTGTCCTTCAGGTCCATCTGTTTGACACAGTTGGCGAGCTACCAGTTGCCAAAGAGCATGCACTGGGTGTGCATTACTTGTCCTGCGGGGGTGGCTCCACACCCACCAAAGTTCCCACAATCGTCGGAGCTGTTGTCGTACACCGGCTCTTCTCCCGAGTCAGAAGAATCTTCATCCTCTTTCTTCTTCTGTGAGGCCACAACCAAAGCATTCATCTTCTTCTCCTGAATTCTCCTCTTCTTCTCCTCCTCTTTCTCCTTCGATTTGCCTGCTCCCCCTTTTTTTCCCCTTCTTTTTGACATTCCTTCTTGTCTTCAGCTTGCGCTAGCTGTTCCATCTTCCTATGCTCCCTTTGCTTCTTCCTTTCTTCCTTCTGCTGCTTTTCTTCTTCCGCCTACCTCTTCTTCTTGAGTATCATCTCTTTCTTGTCATTTCCACTGATGGACAATGGCACAGGTGGCTGAGGCTTTCTAACGGCCTTGTTCTTTAAACATCTGGGGGCAAAGTGAACACCTTGTCCATGGTCGTCTGCCTGGAGGGGGTCTGGGGTTACAGGGCTCTTGCTGATGGCTGGGGGAGTGGAGGAGCCGGTTGTTCAATATTGTCCATCAGACTGGACCACATGTTGTAGTCGAGGTTGATCTTGGGGTACAGCTCCCCTTTCTCCTCCCCAAGCTTAAAGTTCATGGAGCATATTTCCTTGAGTCGATGACGAGTTTGTGACGTCGTGGATGGGGCAGAGGCAGAAGAGGTGGGTGACAAGTGGAGGGTAGGGCCAGGGGACCTTGTGAAGGTGCAGCTGGGTTCAGCTTGTCACTTGTGAGGACAACGTCAGGGTTGTAGGGAAACTGCCCTGACTTGGTAAATCCCGTCATAGCTGTTTCCGGCTGAGCCGCTGGTCCAGAGGCTGTGTCAGGTGGCTGTTGTGGAACTTGAGGCAATAGAATATTACCCTGTTCTCGCTGCAGAAGTCTGAGACGCGAAACCCCGCCATACCAGACACCATGTCGGATGTCGGCACTGCGCGCCTACCCCCCATACATCCCCTCAGAGAGGCAGAGCGGCTCCGTGCTTTGCTTAGCACTGATGTTACACGCACAACACACTGCTTTGTGTGTAGTACAAGTATACACATCTTCATAAAATGCATTGACAGCCTTACAACTGCAGGTCGATGCACTGTTAGAATACATAATCAGCAAGCCAGGAAATAATTTACCTCTGTGTATATGCAGTAAGCAACCACATCGACCAACCAAGGATCTCGTGCCACAGGAAAGGATGCTGTCGGGTGTTGATAAACGCGAGAACACTCTAGCACATCTTAATTGGTTCATGATGAATACCACAGGGTTGCAGCGCTGACCCCCCTGTCGCACAACCCCGTCGCTACTCTAGTAATTATTAAACTAGTAAGCATGATTTAACGCCCTCGCCCATTTGGTCTCAATAATTTACAACCCTTCTACCGTCGTGCAAGAGCATTTATTGTCTCGTGCTTGTGTCTCGTTACGTTTGTACTCGCTCTCTGTTCCTTGAACCATAATTTATTGTGTGCAGGCAGAGAGTGTGAGGCCTGCCATTGTTAAGTGCGTAAACAATGAATGGTCCAGCCAGCGGCCGGTCCCACATTTACAGGAGAGGCGAAAAATGTTTTTACATTATTATTTCGTTCCCAACCAGATATGCCGTTAGCTACCACGGGCCTAGGTGATTTTATCGGCCTGCGAGAGGTCAGGAGGGGGGAAGTCCTCGCCTCATGCCCACACCGGGGTGGGCCCGCGCATTCATCGGACGCGATGGGGCCTTCGGCCCCGCTGACTGGGCCTTCGGCCCCGCTGACCCGATCTGCTTGGATCCAGCCCATATCGAGACATGGGTTATTCTTCTCATCCGAAGTAGGTCTAGATCTATGTCAGATTTAATTTTTATGCTTGGGATAATCCGCTTCTGTCCCCAAAGATTACTACCCTAATTACCAACTATCCTACCCCAATCCCTAAGAAAGTTACTACTGGTATTAGTAGGCTAATATAGATCTAGGCTAGATCTACAACAATGTAATCAATAAAATAATCAGAAAGTAAGATCGCTAACAACCGACAAAAAGTTCATTGAAAGTAAGGTTCAACAAATAAACAATGATTGAACAATGTGGGGAATAACTTATCCATGTTGTATTTTTATAATAATAAATGTAAGTTAGAAGACAACGAAACACCGCCTACAATTTGAATACCTACTTTAGTCAAAGTTCATAGTGAATGAATATATCTTTCGAAGGCAACGAAAATTAATGTTGTTTTCCCCCGTTTCTACCAAGGCTTGCACAGGAAGTTACTACTGAAGTTGATTGGTTGCCTAGATATCTGACGTAGTACGGGAAAAGTGTGTAACATCTGTAAGCCATATAAAGAAACAAAACCAGAACCTAATTAATTTTACAAGCTTCTCAGATTTTTGTTCCCTGGTGAAATAGACACACATAGCCAGACTTTTTAATTTTCAGTTATAGGTATTCACTTTTGTATCAATTGGCCCTCATAAATAATAATATAAAAAACCCCCACAACAACCCTGCCCTATTAAGTATCGGATCTTCAGTTCGGATTCAAAAGACTTCATACATTTGAAAAAAAACAACAAACAACAACAAACAAACAAACAAACAAACGAAAAAGCCAAAAACACAACACACTGACTGATGCGAGGTACAATCTCTATGGAGGAACAGCAGGCTAAACGCCCCACTTATTCACACCTGTAAAAACCTCAACTTTTCAGTCACTTGCTTTCGTAAATAACACAAGATTCCACAATACAAAGACTTTTAACGACCTTGAGTATCGTCAAGAGTCTAAACTTCGCGAAAACCCCCCAAAACAAACAAAACATCATCATCATCATCATCATCATCATCATCATCATCATCATCATCATCATCATCATCATCATCATCATCATCATCATCATCATCATCAAGAACAAGAACAACAATAACAATAACAAGTTTGAGACCCAAGTCTCCGATCCTATCTTAAATAGGATTAGATCTTTGTTCAAATTTCGTGTTGAACTGAACGACGAATACACCTTCAAGGGAAAAAAGAATAATTAAAAAACAACAAATAAAGATAAAAAAGACCCCCAAAACCCAACAACAATAACAACAACAGAACCCGCTTTAACAGACTGACCTCCTTCTAATAAGCAAGTTATGCTTAGGTCTACAATCAAACTACAACGAAAACAAGAAATTTTATGCGTTTCATCGGGAAGCGCCACAAAACTTTCGGCCGCTTTTGTCCATAGGCAAGGCTACTAACATGTGTAATAATTACCCCTATTATTGTCTAATGGACTGACCCAACTTTTATAGGTCATATATTATGACCAGATTTAGCGGGCTATCCATCTGTTTTCAAGTTCAAACTGGGAGTTCGGAGTAAAATCCAATTTTTATGAATGCTGTATTGTGGCTTGTTAAAATAGAAAAAGAATGTAATCTCTCAAAAAACCCAGTAATGCTTCAAGTATGTGTCTTTGAACCGTTGAAGGCATTTGTTGCTACTAGAGAATGTTTAATTATAATGAATACATACAAGTTATGTACTCTCTGTTGCAACTTGAGGTTCTGATTCAAGGTCTACTGCGAGCTGACAGCAAGGAGCTTGGCTGACAGTCAATTCTTGAACCAAAAAAAGAGCACCCATTTTAGCTTCTTGTTTTTTCATTTTTATAGAATTCTGTGATTGCATCTAATAGCTTTATAGCAAAACAAAAATACAAACCATAAAACCGTAAAACAAATAATATTCGTTTTTTTCTTCACGCTACAAAACGCAGCGTAAACTGCTCAAATTTTATAGTTGGCAAAATACAAAAATCTGGGCAATGAATGAAAATGGGTTTGACCCAGGGAATCACCGGGAGAGGCGAGGAGGACGAGAAGATTGTGATGACTAGGTAGGCTATGAGAGCGGGGTGAACCCGAGCGAAAAGAGGGTAACTGGTCTTGCTGCCGACTGCCGAGCATCGCCGATTGGCTCACTGAATTCTTCGAGTCTGGGGGCACCAGAAAAGTCACGTACACACTTGCCAACGTGTGCAGTTCTAGAAGCTGCGTCGCTGTAAGTGTGAGTAACATTATAAGTTGTGTCTGTCTTTCTGCTTTCATTGTTGACAGTTCTAAGAGTGTACTCAAACTTCAGATAACTTTTGAACGTCAGGACAGCAACGTAACTTTTGTCTTATCTCATGCATGCGCTGTTTGTTACTGTGAGTAGAGAGTTTTGATCGATCAATGATAGCTCCAAATTCCTGATTCTAGAATCTAGATTACAGTTAAGTAGAATGCAATCCTAGATCTATCAGCTGTCCCCAGAACAAAGCATCAGCTTTCGTACAACTAGAACACCCACAAGTTCAATAATTTGATTTGGTTTTGAGAACTAGACTAGATCTAATATAGATTCTAGAGATATAGATATAGATCTAGAATCTAGATCTAGAGTCTAATACTGTAATGAACAGTGCCAGTGCCAGTGGTAATTTAGATGGGAACTTATCAGTTTCAGATCCAAGAGTTTTCAATAAAGTTGTAAATATCGAATCACAGTGGTATGCGATGTACTTTTACCAATTAAATACCTGATAAACTCATTAAGACAATTAATCCACCAGGTTACCATGACAATCAGTATTAACTTCAAACAGTTGGTCATTGATTCTCTCAATGAGGAAATTGTTTCTGTCAAAGATGACCCGGACAGAGGTTCTTGTACAAGTTTGAAGGGTTTCCTGGGGACTTGTTTTGTCAGCTTCTCACACAACAATTAATACTAGATCTAGATCTAGAATCTAGATGTAGATCTAGACTATGAACTCTGATTGAGAGTAATTATACATGCATGTTTTTTTTCAGCAGGCAGTGCAAAGTGTAGATCTAGATTTTAGTTGTTTGTGCTGTGATCTAGGTGTATATTTAGCTTTTATTACTTCTGGGAAGCTTTCATCCAGCAGTGACATGTTATTATTTTGTTTCAGAGCAACAGTACCTTGATGAAGACAGTTATCACAATGCATTTCAGTATCAAGTGTGTGGTTGTCTTGTTGACACAATTTGTGAGCGTGTTGCGAGGTGAACTTTTCACCTCAAATGCTCACTTGCAAACAGCCCTCTATGCAGAAAAGGATATTGCTTCATTATTGAATTCATACGTGGAGCAGGAACAGATGAGACTGGATAAAATAAAAAAGTAAGTTACTATGGATGCTTTTTTATATGAAATGTTGCAATTTAATCTTCATAACGCACCAACTTTTTATGTGGCGGGAACTTATTCTTTCTTCTTCACTCTTTAAAAAAGTATAGTGTATAGTCACAATGTGTGTCCAAATTGTCATTGACTCAGCTGTCTTGTAGAGAACTCCAGAACGCTGCTGCTGAACACTTCGATTTTAAGTTTACTTGTGATATCAGTTTTTACACGTACCTCTTTCTTAAGTTGTGATGTGATCGTTTGATCAGGGAGAATGTTGAGGGTTTCGATTTTTGTAACATTAGTTTTTGTTGTTTTTGTGATCTGATTAAGTGGCAAAAAGAAAGCACAATTTGGACACTATGTTGCAATAATTCGAGCTTGGTACCATTTAACGCATTTCAAGTATAAATAGTTTAATTTAAGAGATTTCAGAGGGTCAAAATATCCCCCCCCCCCACCCTTTCCGATACCTTCTTTATTGAGGAGAGTTCTTCAATGTGCAGCCTGAAAGTTAACAGTATGATGTGTTTTTATTGTTTTGATTTAAAGAAAAAAGTAGAAATTCATTACATTTTGCCGACATTTAAACAGTTTGCTTGAGACTATGAAGGCTCAGCATCCCTTGTCTGGACTTTTCTTTTAAAATTTATGATGCAGAAAATCTGTTCATGTCATATCAACCTCATTGATTGAAACTTAGAATTTTTTGGAGCAATTTTTAAGGTAGAGCAGCATCTGCCAAAGTCTGTGATGTAATGTTTGGGTATTTGCCGTAGCATACAAAAGATGAAAGTCTCCATTGGATCCTGTTTCTGGAAGTGTTTTTTTTTTTAGTCTGTCCTTCTTTCATGGGACGCATGCACATTAATATTAGATTAAACAAAAATTATACTCAGCCCAGCTAAGATTGACCCTGAGGCGGGTTGAAGCAGTCCGCCTCCTCAATTCTAAACCGTAACAGTTCATTGGGAGCATTAATTCATTAATGAATTATTTCACAAAACCAATCAGATCAGTTATTCTTTGCTCATGGCTTGAGGAATGATTTTATAAATGTAGAGATAAAAATTATAAACCCAACAACTGTCATTGTGGCCAATTAATAATAATAATATCAACCGCTGCTGTGTTGTTTATCAGCAAAACTGGCCATTGAATTGGTAGAATTTAATATGACACCATAGTCACGTTTTTTTGTAGGAGTTTCTTCGTTTCAGAATGGGAGCCGGTAAAAAAATGTCTGTTAAATATATAAAACAAATTTTTCATTTTGTTTTTTATTTTGGTAAGTGTTTTATGGCTCTCGCAACTGCATAAGGTCATATAAGCGTGCTGGACACATTAAACTTTTTCAGTTATGAGGAAATTTTGAATTTTCCCCGGGTGGCGGCCGAAGCCTACTCTTATAGATTTTAGACCACCGAGGGATCTTTCACGTGCGCAACTTGCACAGGGGCCCTCCGAGATTTTTCGCCCTTGCCCGAGAAGGTTTGAGAGGTGTAGATCTTTCCTAACAGAAAATCAGGGGTGTGGCTGAAAGACAGCTGTTAGAAGGAGTCAAAGGGTAGCAGAGGAGGGGGGCAAAGGAGGTTAGGGGATGGGGGCAGAAAGAGGAGACGAAAGCAGACAACAGAACATTGCTTTTAAGTTCTAGGGAGCCGGAAAGGAGGTGAAAGGAACACTTTTTAGAGAAGAAAATTTTTCGGTCGCTACCCGGATTCGAACCCATGACCTTTGAATGAGAGGCCAATACCTTAACCTCTAGGCCACGAGAGCCCATGTTTACAAGTATTGTGTACGTATATATATATATATATATAGAGGTGTAGATCTTTCCTACCAGAAAATCAGGGGTGTGGCTGAAAGACAGCTGTTAGAAGGAGTCAAAGGGTAGCAGTAGAAAGGCTGCAGAATGAGTCAGCCCTGAGCTTTTAAAAAAGCTTGGTTTTTTAAAGCTCTGAAGTTTGAGAGTGTCTCAGGTTGGAGGATCATTTTTTTGTGTGTGTATGGGGGGGGGTCAGATATGTTTGCAATTATCGTTCTCTGGACCTTTCCGGATGGTTTGAATATGATTGTCAAACGTGTCAGAGAGTTCAGGGCACTCTAATTTCGGTTTCTTTGAGGTAACTTAAGCTGGTGGTTCATATCACCGTGTCTGTCATATATATATATATATATATATATATATGAATAATGTAGTTTGACAGGATTGGACGGATATTGGCTCTACTGTCCAAATTCTCCCCCACTTCTTGTAGTCATTTTATCCATATGGTTTTTGTGATTCCAGACAAAATACATAATTTTTGAGTTTCCGTTGCTTACAAGTGGTAGACAGTTGCGCCCTCTTTACTAGTGTGACTGTTTTGTTGTTTTTTTCCTTCAGTTTTGCACTTGAAAAGTTAGATGTGAAGTTAAGTGAAAACTTTTTGAAGTAGAATCTATGATCTATGAAAATTGTACTGGAGACAGCAAGAATGGTTTGTGGTCGTATATTTAACATCAGGTCATCTCTTAAAAAACACAGTCAGGAAATTAAAAATTTAATCAAATGCATCAATTCGGCAGTGTGCATTGGGTTAAAATGAATTGAATGTTAGAGATACCTTTCACTGAAAACTATGTGCAGCCCTTTTATAAAGCACACAAGGCTGAACAAGGTACAGAATGGGAGCCAGTCAAAAATTTCTGAACTCTTGAATCATACAAAAATAATTGCTCCTGATATTTAATGTTACATCATGTATAGCATGATTAAGTCTCGAGGAAAATACCATGAGTGCGCGAAGTGTATTCATCAAGTATTTTATAATTTGTCTGTTTCGATACATGTTTAAAACAGAGGAGGGGAAAAAATAATACAGTTGACAAGCAGGAAGCTAGAATTTAATAAGAATTGATTTACCAAATTCAAAAGGACAGTCTCAAGATTGTCTTTTTGTACAACCCTCCAAACCCCCCCCCCCCCCACCCACCAATCCTTTCCACATCTCGGTCCAGACTAGTCTCATTAGTGTTATTATGCAGGGGAATTGCCTCTAGCTATGACCTCGATGATCATCTGGTGTTGCCATCATGTAAAGCTGATGACCACTGATAGTGAAGGTCCATCAGGCTATGTAATGATCTATGTAATCTGCAATGTTTATTGACTGTTACAAATTATTGTTCATATTAACCATCAGTATAATAATTTATTGTATTCAGAATAATGATTATATATATTATATATATATATCATCATCCGGTGCCTTGCCGACTGGCATGGGCGATCATGGACCTCCACTTCCATCTGTCTTTCGATGTAGCAATGGTGTCTGTTGTTCTTGCTGCTCCCAACCATGTTGTCATCTTGTCCAGTATCTTATCCCTCTGTCTGCCTCTGCCTCTCTTTCCATCAAACTTTCCTGTTGTTACAATATTCTCTAATGCTTTTTTCCGCATTGTGCGTCCGAAGAAATTTGCCTGTCGTTTTCATATATTCGTGATAAGTTGTTACTTCAACCAGGACTTCTTCATTTGTTTTTCTAGCTGTCCATGGGATACGTAGCATGTATATAATATACAATGTAATCAATACATCACCTCCACCCTACATTTATTTTCAGGTTTTTTTTTAAAGATGTGGAATGAAATATTTCATACTAAGTTTCTCATATCGTGAAAAGATACTTTGTGAACAATTTTTTTGTACTCTATCAAGGAATGGAGAACTTAAGGTTTTAAAAAAGGGTATCCCAGAGTGTTGGAAGTATGGGCTATGACTGGAAATGGGATCAATTTTTCTTGCTCTACCTGTGGAAAATTAGTTCTTGTTTTTTCTGTTTATTTTTTCCGTTTGATTTTTTTTTTACTTACAACAAAATATTGCTTGTCCTGCTGTTCTGAATGGGCTGTCTCCTGTGACAAACGGCGTGAGGATCTAGACAACCGTCTACAGCCGCGTTGTGATCAATGATGGATGATGCATGTTACTAAATATTGTGACGCCTGGGCTCAACAGAACGTTAAATGTTAAAAGTGAGAATAAATTTTAATACGCACGCTCCAGACTGGAGTGTATTCCCTTCCCGGCAAACAGGTATACACTCACGCATTATGTTCACACACACAAACTCACAGTCACTCGCTTCTTCTTTCCTATTGAACATCTATCGTCCTTCTCCCCTTTTTCTTTTTATGTTTGTTACTCTCTTGTAACACCTCTAATCTTCTGGGGCTCATATGACCTTATGCAGTGGCGAGCTCCGTAAAACCTCTACTAACACTAACACTCACTCGCACGAGTGTTTATCGTACGCTTTCCAACCAACGGCAGGCCTTAAATGAACCCTGATGTTTGTGTCAATTGTCAATAGAGCAGAGAGTTGACAATAGCCATCGTGTTCCTCGGTTGTGTGCGGGTGCCTCCCTCCTTCCTCTCCCTCTGTCTTTTTCTCCCTCCTCCCTCTGTATTTCTCTCTTTCCCTAATTCTTTCACTGGATGGTTGGCAGGTGCTCTTACACTTGTGTGGTTTGAACCTTTTTTCCTATATCGTCCTTACCCCGTTCTCTAATCTTCAGCTCTTTTATAGTTTTTTTTACCCATTTTTGTGACAAGCCCTGTAAAACTAACTTACTTTCTTTTTCATCCTCTGTTGCCGTTAAGCGTCGAGGGGAGATGCAGTTTTCTATGGTAGGCCAGCTCCGCAGCTCTATCAGTTGTGATGTTATGTTTTCTTAGGGTTTCCTTGACACCCTCGATCCACCTTTTGCGTGGCCTTCCTCTTCCTTTATAGCCTGAGTGCTTGGTGTTGTAGGCTCTCAAGGCTGGCTGATCAGGTGACATGCGTAACAGGTGGCCAAACCATTTTATCCTCTTGTCTTTCCATGTAACGCAGGCAGGACTCGGTGCCGATAGCTGCTCTTACTTCTTCATTTCTCTGCCTGTCTCGTCTTGTGATGTTAAGGGTTTTGCGGAGACATTTCATTTCGCATGCGGTGATTTTGCTTTC